AAGGAGGGGAATAAGTAGAAGAAAAATGGAAAAAATGTGGGGGACAAAAAAAGATTAAAGAGAAAGTGAAGAAGAAAAGAAGGGGGAGCAGAGATCAAGAAAAAGAAGAAAGTGTAAAGAGAAGAAAGAGGGAGGTGACAAAGGCTGGGGAAGAGCAGAGGATCTAGGGAAAGGGAGGAAGAGGAAGGAAAAAAGGGGGAGGAGAAGGAGACAGAAAAGGAGGAAAAAGGGGGAGAGGAGGGGRAAAAGACAGGAAGAGGAAAAGGAAGAAAGAGGGAGGAAGAAAGGTGAGGGAGGAGGAGGAAATAAGAATGAGCAATGTGACACCTGCTGCTCCAAGCACTTTATTTTCTTTGTCATTAACACTTCCATTTCCAAAAAGGAACCTACCTCYTCCCGGATGTGGGGATAATTCTGAGGGAGGGAGGGGAAGAGCCGGATCCGGCCATCCCCCAGGCCGCTCCAAAGGCTCCGCCGCTCCAGGCCAGGTCCCGGCAACACTCCCGACYAAACGCTCCGGCCACAACCACCGGGGCCGAAGCCGCGACCTCGGAATGCGGGAGGGACAATACCCCAGGCAGCTCAACGCTCCTTTCTTCCCAGACCTGTATCCGATGTGTCCCGAGCATCGCGGYGCTCCAAAGCAGAGGTGCAGCCTCCCAATGCGGCCTCCCCGACGTTCAACGTCGCTCTAGAGCACTGTGGGAATAACGTGTGTTCAGGAGGGGGTCCCGGACTGTGGGCGGGCACTGACCTGCCCTGGCACCATCCGTGTGGCACCCCCGGGCTCACGGGTCAGGCTGTGGGTGTCACTTGGTCTTGCAGGAGAGGAGAGCGTGGGCAAACGGGCATCGCGAGCATCAGCCTTCCTCGGGCGTTGATACATCACACTGCGGGTATAAAATAATAGCAACAAGTTACAAGTTATATTTTATAAAGTAATACTTTATATTAAGTAATAAGCAACGAATGGGAGCCCTGCTGGAAAGCACAAATGCTGGGAAATAGGCACAGGTGCCCCCAGCACTGCRCAGAACAGGAACTTGCTTGGGAAGCGCCGCTCCCAAAGGGGTTCGGTTTGAGCTCGGACGTTTGGGCTCTCAGGTGCCAGGGGAGAGCCGTGCGGGTGCCGCTCCTGGGGAGCGAGCCGCCCTCCAGCCCCACTGACCTCCGCTCCGCGTTGATTCCTTCGTCCTCATCCAGCTACTCGTCGCCCACGCGGGGTCCTGGCCCCYGCTCTTCCCTCGCTGACCCTCAGCCCCAGCCTCTCGTCCCGAGCCTAAGAGGAAACAAAGCTTAGGCAGGAGGTCAGACCAGAAAGAAGTTGCTGGGCTCCCGAGCTAGCGCCAGGCTGACCAGAGCATGGAGCTGCTGCAGTTAGTGAGAATGGGGGAAAAGGAGGAAATCCTGAGTTTGCTGCATCCCGTTTAACCACGGCCTCCATTCGCTGCCGGCGGTTGCGTTTCCTTCGCTCGGTGACGTGTCTCTGCCTGGAGTGTCTCTGACCACAACCTCCAAGTGAAGAGGGCAGCCACGTCCCCACAGCGCCCGCTCCAGAGGCTCAGGATGCGGTCCCAGACCCACGGCCGAGCTCTGTGGGGCGAGGGCCGCAGCACCCCCAGCCTCCTACYCGTGTGCAGGGTGGTTCGGGTGACCTCCAGGCCTGAACCCTGAGCCGGGGTTGGAGCGTTTAGGCCGGGCAGACAGACGAGTGCCGTGTCCTGCCCAATGCCTTGTCCCGCCGCACCATGAGGGGAGCCGGTCCCACCGGAGCCAGGGCTGGGACAGTCTCTCCAGCTCCCTGTCCGAGAGCTGGAGCYGCCCCTCCATCCAGTTAACAGCTAGAGCCGCTTGGTTTGTGGGATGGAACCAACTTGTGCCGGGAAAGCCGAGCACAACCCGGCTGGGTGCACCCAGAGCAAGAACGGATTCACCCTGCAGACACATTTCTTACAGGCTCCCTCCCTGCTCCACCTCCGATCCTGCTCTATCCCCTACTCTTATCTCTGCTCCGCCTTTCCTTTCCAGGTGGCTGCATTTCACCCATGGATTTTCCCCGGGAAATCACCACTTCACCCCAATTACTGATTTCCAGCAGCTGTGTTGCTCCTCCCCTAGGCAGCTGTTGACCTCCGTGTTGCTTTCAGTCTGCTCTCAGGTATCTTTGTGGGAACACTCCTACTTGTATTTTCCAAACCACCTCTRTAAAAGCCCCCCAAACCACTAACAACCACATTGAGAGGAAAAACAGACGCTGATTTAGATGCTTAAAGGTCATTTAAAACCCCTGCTTCAGTGTCGGAAGCCGAGAAGGGTGTTGGAGCAAGAGCTCTCGCCCCTTTGTGGAGCCGAGCGCTCCTCCCGGCCGCGGTGCCTCCTGATGTCCCGGCCCTCGCAGCTGTGRCACCCCAAATAAACCAGGGTTCCTGTCCTCCGAGCTGAACACAGACCCTTGGCTACACTAGGCTTGGTGGGAACAAGGTGATATCTGCCATCAGAATCAAAACGTTGCCTGGGGTTGCTCCGTTTAGTGCTTTCTTCGCCCCAAAATGAGGCCACAACAGAAGGCAGCGCTGTGCTTGGAGCCGTCACTTTCCTGCACCTGAAAGGATGTTTGGATCCTTCCCCGTGGGGAAAGGGACACGTCCTGGCAAGCTGCACATCCACATCCCACACAATCTCCCCATGTGCTCTCTTAAATCACCCCCTGCGCCAAAACTCACCGCTGTCCTCGGGGCTGGACAGCTTCCTGGCTCTGGGATCTCCTCACGGATCCTCCCTGTCCTGCGGCACTGCCGTGTCCCGGAGCGAGGCCCTCGGTGGGGCGGGACAGACCCTCGGAGCACTGCAAAAAAAACAGGAGGAGGAAAACGATCAGTCACGTAGCTTGGTTTCCTCCAGCAGGCTCTTTTAAAATACTTGAACTATATTTATATCTATGCTTTATATACCTTGATATGTGCATTTTTATATGTATTTTTATATATTATGCACACACTGTGTGCAGCGGGGCTGCGCATGGCCRACCAGCCACGTGGGAACAGTCATGGCACCCGTCTCCCAAGGGCGCCCGTTGGAGCGGGAAGCTTCCTGGGATCCGCACACGCTTCCATCCCAGTCCCGTACGCAGGCGGGGGGATGGAGGGGACCTCCCTGCCCCCAGACCCAGCTTCCTGGAGCATTCCTGGTGACACTGCCCATAGCATTCCCGAGGGATGCTCCCAGGCAGGGCATTCGTGTGCCCGTCACACTGATCCCGGACACCAACGGGCGCTCCCATAGATCCTGCGAACGTTGCGGGGACCGCCCGAGGCCCCGGGGACATCAGCACCTCTCAATTGCAGGAGAGCAGAATCGGAAACAGGAACCACAGASCAGGCCCGCGGGCGCCACGTCCTGCCCGGCGGCTCCTCTCCTGCAGCTGATGAGAGGGGCGGCTGGCGCGGCGGGACCCCCGGGTGGGTGTGAGCAGGGCACCCCGAGCGGAGCGGGCGCCTCGGGGCGCGTGGGGCGCCCACGTCACACGTGTGTCACGTATTTCCTCACCCACGGGGACATTTCCGTGACTCATCCCRGGGCCGTTATCCCAGGACATCTCGGAGCGAGGCAGCCTCACTCGGTGCCACCGCACGCACAGCCTCCGTCCCCATCCGCACCCCTGTGTTGGCTCACCATGATGCCTGGCTCCATGCTGGGCTCCGGAGTGGTTACCTCGGAGATCCGGCTCCGGAAGAGACCCAGCGCGTGCAGGTCCAGGCCGTCCATCTCCCGGGGCTGCACGCGGCCGCTCCGGGCTCTCCCAGGCCRCTCCATCCCCGTGCATCCCCATCACCCCAGGGATTGCGGAGCCCCCAGGAAACTCAGCCCTGCAGAAAATCGGGTGAGGAGCGGGACAAGCCTTGCTGGAAAACCCACACCGCGGTGCCGAGGCCAGCTGGGCAGCACAAGGTCCCGGCTCCTGCAGGGAATCACAATCATTCCGGGGTGCCGCAGCGTGCGGTTAAACCATCCCAAGGAGCCCTGCATCCCGGCACCTACATCCCCTGGCACGGGCACATCCGCTGGGAGCAGAGACCCCCCTGCTGACCTCTCGGAGGGAACCTGGAGCCACTGGTAGGCACAGGCAGCACCACAGCAGCACCCGCAGGGACCCACGGAAAAGGGTCCGACAACACCGAGGCTGCCGCGGGCTGAGGAGTTCCACAGGCCACCCAATATCCCCATCAAACAGCGAGAGATACCGTGTTTGCACTTTCCCAATAAAAATAAACAAATAAAAAAAATCTGCAAACATCTGTAATGTTCCGGAAGAGCTGACATGTTCTGAGTGCACAGGCTTCCAGGGCTTTTAGCACACTTAGAGAAGTCTTAATATGCTTTGAAAGAAAGAGAGAAGAAAAATCCATTAGGTTTTCATTTTTCCCCCCTCTCCCCTTTCTGCACAGCCTATTATCCACGTGTTCTTGGATGTTCTATGCAGGGACCTGTCACAGAGCCACCACTGCAGCCAAACACCTGCAGTGAGAGCGACCTTGCACTGCTGCTCCTCCGGCAGCTGCCCGGGAATCCCACGGAGCAAGGCGGATAAAGGGGCAATCCCAGCCCTGCAGCAAGGACCGRCCGAGGCTCTCTGCTCCTCAAACACCTGCTCTGGTGGAGAGCACACTGGGGGCTCCAGGGTGGGCAAACGCTTTGCACACACAGAGCAAGACAAGAGCACACGGTTTCTTCACAAGGTTTCTGCACTAGGAACATTTGGTTACTGTACTAGGCTCTTTCAGACACATGAGCCTGGCTTAAACATCAAGCCAGGAATAATTTGTTTTCCTTTTTCTTAGTCTTTTCGGCGTCTAAATGGCTTCAGTGCTAAATTAACACCCGCCTTCCAGTTTGCCTGGCATCGGCTTTACTTCCCACTCTTCCTGACAGACGTCCTTCCCAAATCCCTGCCCCTCCACAGCATCTCATCCATAGGTTCTCCTAGCTCCGTGAAGATGATAGCTCTGTGCTCACTAGATAAACTGCAAACGAGATGCCAGATGCCTTAGAAGTAGATCGTGATCTTTAAAGAACAAGAAAGGGTCCTTAASAAGATCCATCTAAACAAGAAAATCCAAAATTCAAAATGAGAATAAGAAGGACCAAAGAGGAAATCTAGCGYCAAGACTGTTCTTTTACAGCATAGAGCAGCAATTATTCACATGGCAATTAGTCACATGGTCATTAGGAACCTCATTAGCTGGCATTTATTCCTGCAGGGAATAAAGATAAGATATCATCAGGGACTGCTAATACAGAAGGACAGATAATATCATTCGGTCTTCATTTATACAATTATCAAATGCTTAATAGCAGCAGTTAGAGGTGGGTGGCTTTTGGACCAGCTTAAAGGGGCTGATCTACCAGTAAAAACTTCTGTTTATTGGAGGTGGATTTGGGTGCAGTCGTTGGAATTATAGSGTGCCGGCCGCCAGGACTTGGCAAATTCAAATTAAAATGAGTTCAGCATAAAACATCGCTGGTAGAAGAACACGTGCATGTGACTTGCCAGCTGATGCTGCTATTACTGACCACGTGCACCCAGAGGTGACAACCTTCTAGGAGAAACCTTGGCCCAGCTTCTACCCCTTGGCTGAACCTCTTTGCTCCCTAGTGAGGTGGGACGAGGGAGCCCCTCCGCCTTCCCCACCGTTCCCGACATCCATCCCAAATATCCAGGTCACATTATCCGAAATCACCCCGATCCCAGCAAAGCGACACCACGGAGACACCCACAGACCTGTCAGACTGATAAACCTTCGGGAAAGTTACATTAATYTCCAGTAGCAGCGGGAAAGCTGTAGGACCCATTGCCACGGGTTTGTTTTCCAGCTTCAAAGACGAGCAGCCAGACGCTGTCAAGAACCAGGGAATTGTAAAAGACATTGGAGGCACCAATTTGTATCTCCTACTTCTTGAATATYCAAAGAACCCAGCCGGGTCCATCACTTGGGTTATCATTCAGGAGGAGCTCTCCACCGACACGGAGACTCTGCTCCATTCTTCCCTAGCTGCACAATTCTCATGGGAACGGAGCTGATGAGGCAAATTTTTTTGGGTAGAAATAGAGACAGTATGTTCTGTACAACAAGATAGCCCAGGTTTATTTGAAGTCAAAACCAAACTGTTTGTCTTCTGCGTAATTTCCCCTTCCTTTCCCCTACAGCATTTAATCATTTATGACTAATTACATGAAGATTTTCCGAGCTCACAATAGATGGGAGAAGAGAGGGCCATGCACAACATAATAATTGCTACTCACATAAGCCTCTTCTTTACGCAGACTGTGCCTCTCCAAGCAGTGGCAATTAAAGCTGGTCTTCATTACCAAAATTACAATCGGCTGTAATTAGTCCTGTAGGGAGATTATTACCTCTTGTTATTAAGAGGAGAAAAAGGATAATTGCCACTAATGCTCCTGCATTTGGTGCCTTGGGAATTTCTGAGGTTTCAGCTCTCTCCTCACCTTGGACTCTGAGAGCCGCAGTTGGTAGAAGGGACGGTGGAGACGACATCCTGACACCCTTGCACACGATGCCTGCGCAGAAGGAAGCCTAGTTTTTAGGTACAAAAATGGTTTTCAGGYACGAAAATGAGCTTTTTCTGCCTCAGCCTATGCAATGATGGGCTGGAGCCCCTGTTCAGATCGCATCCCTGCTTCATTTGTCCCCCATAGGGCTGAAACGCTTCCTCCATCTGCCCCATTGGACATGAACGYTGCCATGGGGCAGTCACATCTTGACGTCTCACACGCTGCTCAGGAGCCAGATGTAAGGTGACCTATACACCTCCGTGAGCCTGACCAATGAGACTAACGCCTGTTTGAGCCTCTCTCCGTGTCGTGAAGAACCATCCGTATTTATAACCCCACGTAGCGCAAAACCCCTGAAAAGACAAGACTCGGAAAYCACTTCCACATCTCCAAAGGGTTCCTCTGCTACTTAAATAAAAAAGCATCTGTCCCATGACCACATTTTGATCATAATAGGAAGGGCCCTGTGCCATCTTGTGGCCACTCTTAAAATACAGTGAAGGAACGGGGCAGACAGGGAGCAAAGTCATGGGGAAGTGAAGGTCACCCACCCTCTGTGATCCCCATAAACCCRTCGATATGAGGTGTTTTGAGGAAAGGGCTGGCTCCGTCCATACGGCCRCGTCTCCACTCAGTGTGAGCAACCCATGCTCCTTGTCACCTCGGGTGGACCCATGCGTCAGCACCGCCTGAAAACAGCCCTTGGTAATAAAGCAGAAAGGAGAACTGCAGCGCAATCAAATGAACCACCCTAGATTCACCTCCGATTTTCCATAGAGGATGGATCTCCAATACCATAAACACCAGAAGGTTCATCCTTCTCCCTGTGGTGGCCGCACTGTGCCCCGCTCCTGGCTGTCCCCTGAACTTGCAGGCAGCGAAGCCCTGAACGAAAGACGGGATCCAGCCAGGGGCCAGAAAACTGAGAAACTGGGCAAGCCCCCACCTCGTTCCTGTGCAGCATTGGAGGAGTTGGGCTGCCCTGGAAAGGAGAAATCCCTGTGTTTTACTACATGTCCTGCTATGGGAGTCAATGCCTCCAGCTTTTTCCATCCGCAGCTTCTTGCCTTGACAGATGAAGTCCYGCTTCCAATAGTCCAGTAGTTCCGCTTCCAATAGAAAAACAATAGAATTGTTTTTCTGAGCAAGTGACATTTTTCTCTAGACTACTACTCTTTTTTTTTTTTTTTAATTAGAATTTGCCCATTCTGAAATATCCCTTAAGAGCTGTCATTGAGATAAAACCATTTAATGTTATTAACGTTTTTCTCTGAGCTACAAACCCCATTTGAACTGTTTTGTATCTGCTAGTGGGAATTATCCAGGTAGGAAAGAAATATCCCCTCAAACCAACCACTAGTGCTTTGTCTTACCTACACAGATAGCACTAGGCAAATACTGAAAGGAAACAGACCAAAAAAAGGTAAAAGTCAGGGATAATTACTGMATTGTTATCTGAAGTAACACTGCAGGATTGTAGCCCCCTATTTTCTTAAGCAGGTGTTTCCAAGGATAAGCCCAACGTGAAGAGAAGCAAATATTATAGACAACATTATCTTATCCTAAACTGGACTTAGCTCTGTCATCTTTGTCCTCTTCTGTTTGGTGTAACAGCCAGGGCTTTACAGATGTATTTTAACAAAGGTATAACATATAGACTTGTTTCTTCAGTTATAGCTGAAAATGAAATTCTGAAATAAACTTATTTGAATAAAAAAAAATAAATAAATCACACACAGACGTGCCTAGGAAGCTGCTGCTACCGATACCCACCTAGTTACATGCATATTCTTTGAATGATGAATAGAGAACATGATCCCTGCACATGTTCRTCTTTCAGCCAATAAACAATTAGCATCCCAGAGGGATGTCGAGAGGCACCAGACTTTGCCAAAGTTCGGAATTTTGCAAATTTTAAAAGCAAATTTAAAAATCATCGCAAGCAGAAATATACTGAAGTATTTCTTCCCATCACCAACCAAGTCCAGTAAGGAGGGAAAAAGAGAAATATTCACCATTCAGATCCTACATTTCGTTATCAGTTCTTCCTAGACACAGATATAGGACTACTTTTTTAGACAGCATAGAGCCAATTTGCTCATAGGCAAATAAAGCAATACCCCCAGGTTAGCCTACTAGCGTGGGAGTCACTCTCCTTTCTGAGGGACAGACTATGGAAAGGCCTATAGGTTCAAAGAGATTTTTAGCTTAAGCTCGCCCCTTTCTCTCCAGCACCAACCACTGCTTGGGCATCCGGTGCTCCCTGAGCTCGGCTCCTCTCCAACACTCGTTTTCTCAGTGGAGGAACACACTGCACCATCAGCCCTGGACTTGTGCGTGTTTCCCGTGTCACTCGTGGGCACCTAACTTTGTGCCCAAATCCCACACACTTTCCCCCCGGATTCCTGCTCAGTCTGTGGGCCAGTGACACCTTGCTGGGCAGCACCATCCACTGGGGCAAGAGCACCTTGAGGAGCTGTGAGCACGAGCCCAGGAAAGCCAAACTGCTCCTGGGGATCCGTCCTGCCCTGTATTTCCGATGGGATCTGCTGCATGCCGGCACCACGTAAGAACCAGCACACGATGGCCACAGGGTGGAGCACCAGCAACGCAAATCAATCCCAGAATGGTTCCAGAGCTCTGGAACTTTCAGTGTGCGAAGCGTTCTCCAGTGTTCACACCTGCCCCATCTCAGCTCGGCAGCTCTGGAGRCCCCACTGCATGGACCAAGGAGAGCACAAGACCCCAAGCGCTTCCGAGACTCCTGGTCCCTGCAGCAGTAGGGATAACACCACAGCCTCCTTTCCAAGGAGCAACCAACACCACTATTCCTTGACTTAACTCTCTTTACTCACACCAAAGGAACTGCAGGTCCTACCCAGGGTCCCAGCCCTGCTCCAGGGTCCTCTGTGCCTGGGGACAGCCCCTCTCCAAGGCCCAARCTGATCCCACATGCAAAGGAGACATTTCCCAACCACAAGAGGCTCTGACAGAGAAGCTCACCAGCAGAGAAGCTCAGCGTRTCGGTCTTCCAGCCTGCTGGGAGCTTCACACGGTGCTTGGCTTCTATCTGTGCTCTGGGAGCATCCCCACGCTGCTCACAAGCTGCATCAAAGCAACAGGGAAGGATTGAAGCTCTCTCTAGCCTCAGTAAAGGCAGCTGTGGATTAAGAGGAACAGCCCCCTTACTGCTCCAGGAGCTCCCAATTACCCCTAATTAGCTCTGGGAGGGACTTTTCCAGGGCCTCAATGAGAGCAACATGAGGTCTATGGAGAACATGAGCACAGATGGTGAAGAAGTCCCTTGCAGACAGAGGTGGATGTGGGAGCTGTGGTTCCAAAGCCGGGTCCAGCACCTCTCCTCCGAAAGCCAGACCCTGTGGCTGCAAGAAGGGGCTAAGGAGGAGGCCTATGTGAGCCAGACTAGCTAGTGCAAATAGGAACCCAACCCCATGGCGTGAGAGCTTAGCCTTAAACTCAAAACAGGGCTGATCCATAAATGACCACGAGCTATTAATTTATCCCACGGATAAGGAATATTTGTTTTCAGTCTCGCTGATCCACCCAGTGCAGAGATAATGAGGCTGTGTCACCAAGCCACCTATTCAGGCTAGGGAAACAACAGAAATCTGTCACCTCWATCGCATGGACCTACATGCACTGTGATCCCCCAGTTATTGCCCAAAAAAGTCATAAGCACCATCATCCATCAAGAAAGCAGCACAGCAACAGAGAACATGGAAGAAATCTTTGGAAGGCTTTAGAAGACACTACTCACAGGATCTTGGGGTCTAAYGATACGGGTTTTCATGCTCTGTGTTGCTGTCAAAGCACAAGGTAACATCGAGCAAAGAAGGAAAATCGTGTGTGGTTTTTGATGCATTGTTTTGCTCTAAAGCAATGAATCTGTGAGGCCTGGAGGAGCTTCGTGATGTTTTCCAGCTSTTATCAGACAGCTCATACGAAAAYCTTCAGGAGATCCTGTTCTAAAAAACAGGTTCTTCTCCTCATATGAAAAAGACACCTTAATCCAACGTAATTAAGTTTAATTAGGAATGATTACCCATCATCCATTCCAGAAATTGGTGGACTTTTTTTTAACCACTCAAAGGCTTCAGAAGTTGGATGGCACCAGCACATCTTGCAGCCAGCACAGCAAAGTAATTAGAGGGATTTCCTCCTCCTTTCCTCTTTCTCATACTCCATCTTTTCTCCTTGTCACTGAAGGAAAAAAAAAAAAAAAGAAAGAAAAGGAAGGTGAAGGGGTTCACATGTGGAGATGCTGCTCCTCAGGCTCTCCCCCATTTCTSCCTCATCCCGTCTTTGGAGACAATGTTCCACATAGTGGACACATCATCAGATGAGGTGGGTGTAGGTTTCAAACTAGTCCTAACGCTACTGTTTACTTGTCCTGGACTTACAGCTGAGGGTATCCCGCAGTAAAAGCTTCAGGAAAACATACAGAAGCAGCAAAATCCCTGGAGCAAATGAGAGAGAAAATAAAACAATCAACATCACCACAAAAAGCAACCTGGATGAAACAAACTTCCCCTGCAAGCTAAACATGAAAAAGAATTGAATGATAAACGTTCCTGCTTTTAGAAGATTCAAAACKATAGGTGACATCCTGTGAGACTTTTAGCATGTTCCCACCTCCTGTCATGAGCAGTTGCCATAACTGAGGTTATCTGTACTGTTTGCTCCGCATTTGTGTTTTTAGGCTCTTGTTTCTGACATGATTGCCCTCATAGGAGACGCCCAGAGATGCTCAAAAACTTGTAAATTAATCCTAATCTTGTGTCCTTTGTATTGTTTGCAAGCAGGTGACAAATCACAATGTTTAATTTTCAATTCAAACAATTTTGAAGACTTTCCCTGGGCCTGAAGAAAATTGTCACCGTTAAGAGAGGACCCATTTTTGCCCCAAAGTCTCATTTCAGGTTGTCAAACAAAGTCCTGAGGAAAGCACCAGGCCTGAGCTGTTCCAAATGAGTA